CTTTTCTTGTCTCCCCTTATATTCCAAATTGAAGATGGAGAAGTCCAAAAGATTCGATTAGGTTTTACTTAATTAAGCAAATTAAACCCTCTCTCTCTCTCTCTCTGTTAAAATATGTCTCGAGTTTAAGCCCGAAGCAAAAATCTTGAGTGCCCTGGATTCAGCTGGGTGTCGGTATTCTTCAGAATGTGGAGTTCTGAAAGTTGTTCGAGGTGCCTTGGTGATAATGAAAGGAATCAAGCATAGTGGCCTGTATGAACTTCAAGGTGAGACAGTGACGGAATTCGCTGCGGAGACGTCGGATACATCTGTTCGAGAGTCTGAATTGTGGCATATGCGTTTGGGGCACATTAGTGAGAGAAGCCTGAAGGGTCTAAGTGAAAGGAATTTGCTATGTGGTTATGTAGCTAACGAACTGAATGTATGCAGGTGCTGTGATTTAAATCAACGGCGGAAAGTGCAGTTTAGTACGGTTGTCAAAGAAACCACGGATATTGCAGAATTAATTTACTTGGATGTTCGCAGGTTGTCGCGATTTCCTTCGAGGAAGAGTGCCAGATTTATGCTAACAGTTGTTGATGACTACTCGAGGAAGACTTGGGTGTTTGTGCTAAGGTACAAGTTTGATGCTAATGTCAGGATCAGACAGTTGAAAGCTTTGATCGAAAAGGAGACTGGTAAAACGATCAAGCAGGTGCGGACTGACAGTAGTATGGAGTTTTGCTCGGAGCTATTAAATGAATTCTGCATGAAGGAAGGCATAGTGAAACACCGCACTAGTGCCATTGAACCACAACAGGTTGCAGAGTTGATGAGCAGAACATTACTAGAGACGGCTCATAAAATGCTCTTTAGTGCTGGTATGGCTAGGAGATTCCTGGCGGATGCGCTTAGTACGGCGAGCACCTGAAGAATAGATCTCCATCGACTGCAATTGAATGTCGGACTCCCGAAGAAGTGTGATCAGGTAACGTTGCTGATTATTCTGTTCTTAGAATGTTTGGTTGTCCATGTTATGTTCGAGTTAGTGATGGTAAGCTCGATGGAAGGACAAGAAAGTGCATGTTCCTAGGTTATGCACAAGGTGAGCGGGGCTATCGGTTGCGGTGCCCGGAATTAAATTCACCTGTTTTCAGCAGAGAAGTTACATTTGACGAGTCTCTAGTACTTCTGGCTATGAGTGTTAATAGCAGTGTTTATACGGATCTGGACGGTATTCAGCTTGAGGTGAAGTTGCAACCAGAAACTCCTGAGATAGTGGGTACTAGCGAAATAATCGACACGGATAGTGCTTGTAGCGAGGTGGAGCCTATTGAGCCAACAGTTGCTGTAACTGTTGAAATTGACAAGGTGCGTATTCAATTTCCCGATAGATATGGATGCAACGATGGTTTTGCTTTATCTGCGATTAAGGAGGTTGTGTCGGAAAATCCTTGTGGAGCGGTTAAAGGTGCATGTGGAGTTGGTATTCTGATGAGGTCCACGGCTATGGCGAAGTTCAAGCGAGGCTTGGACTTGAAAGACGTCTGTGGCGGTTGAGCCCATTGGGGTTATGGGAGAGTAGTAGCGAAATTCGGATTCTATCAAAGCAATTGTGACTTGACTCAAACGTCGAGCCAAGGTGGAGATTGTTAAAATATGTCTCGAGTTTGAGCCCGAAGCAAAAATCTGACTATTTTGAATTGATATTTTGCGGATGTCCGAAATTGAGCAAAAAGGAAATATTGGAAATTTACTTTCCAAATATGTGCCGGAGGAAACAAATATTCTTTCCTAATTGATGTTGGAGTCTACGGCGTGAACAAGAAAGTCCGACGTGGCTTTTGATTCAGACCATGACTCGGTCAACTCTTGGGCACATATATTATATTCTATCGTGGGCACCTTGGAAAGGAGAAGTTGAAGAAAGCAGAGTGGTTTTCGTGAAGCCTATGTCCAGAGCAAGAGCGAAGACTTCTTGAAGCGCCGCTGCTTGCGAGTGCTTGGCAGTTGATTTCGTTCGTGAATTACATCCAAGAAGAATTAGTGTTCAAGCGTAAATTTTATGATAAAATTTGTGTATAATTCTTTCGTGAGATTGAGAGATTATTTCGTGAGTAATTGGGGCTAAACACTGCGTGAGTTATTAAGTGTAATTGGGGCTTGGGAAACACTTAGAGTGTTTGAGTGATTCGAGTGTGGTTGTAATCTCCGTTGTATCGCTTGATCTATAGTGGAATTCCGTGCTGCTCTCCCCGTGGACGTAGGTCACTACGATCGAACCACGTAAATCTGGTGTCCGATTTATTTTCTTATTCTGTCAATTTTATTGTTCGATCGCTTGGCTTCCGCAACACACACACTCTCTCCTGTACTATTCCAATGTGGTGGCGAAGAATGGTAGTTTAGCTTTGTAATCATGGCATGCGTCCTTGCGTCACAAGTCTCTCTCTCTCTCTCTCTCCTGTACTATTCCAATGTGGTGGCGAAGAATGGCAGTTTAGCTTTGTAATCATGGCATGCGTCCTTGCGTCACAAGTGTTAAAAGTCGGGTAATACCTTGGGAGATATTTGTAAACAATGCATTTTCTAGAGGAAGATTAGGGTCATTTGTGGATCTTGGTGGTGTTATATCATTACTTATTAGGGTGATTAAGTCAATAAGATAGCAATCATAAGTATGATTAGGTAGAAGGAGACTAATGTCCGGAGTTTGAACCACTTCACATCCATCATTGATTATGATTCTTTGATCATTACGTCATTGATTACTCAAATAATAGCAGTCCCTTTCTCAAACTCTTATTTTTCCTCATTTGTAAGGTATTAAAATAGGGAGTACGAATTTTATTATTGGCAAGACACCGGGAGTACCCTATCAAATTGTAGATCGCAATTCAAGAATGCACAGGACTTTTCTTTTATCCTTAATTAACAAGAACATACCACGAAATGAACATAAAAGAAATGAGGGTGCACGAGTTAAAGATTTTAGGGTTTATATAGTTCCGATATTCTGTTATTTCATTTTTCTCGAGTTCATGCAAACGTCGACGAGGTCCGAATTGCAAGTGTCCAGATAGGGTGGAGAGATTGTACTTGTCCTTCTCCTTCTCCGTTTGGCCATCCTTTACGCTATAAATTCATCACCCAATGGGGCCAAAGACACCATGTGCTAACCCTAGTTTATCGTGATTAATAACATAAACTATACAATCCAAGTCATAGGATACAAACAAGTGTTAACCTTATCAATAGCGATAGAGAGAAATTGATGGCTTGGACGTATCCATCACCAAATTATATATAGTTGAGCATACACAGGTTGGATTCGATCAAACCCCACTTGCTTACGCAATTTCACAAATTCATGAACTAATTCTCAAATCACAAGCTTGTTTTATATCAAGTTTGTCGTCGACGAAGATCTTTTCTTACGTTACGACTTTTCACAGAACGAGTTTTCTTCTTTGCGGGCATGCAAGCTCAGTGGAATTTGATAGGAGCCAAATCTCTATCGGCACTATTTACACGGAACGGAACTTCTCCGTCCACAATCAGCATCTAACAATACAGACATGCGCACACATATACATGTATATATTCTCTATCAAGTGGTGCATGATTGCTTAAGCCTTGACTGGCAAGTTCTTCCAAATCTTTGACTGACCGTCCCTGAATTTTCTGGAAAATCAAAGCCTTTTGGGGACGGACAAAGAACAAACATACGCCCAAAACATGCGAATATGTACTTAGGATACGAAGTGACGTCGAGAATCCTCCTTTTTCCGATGGTTCTGAGAAGCACCTCACGATTTCTGATCACTAGCTAAAAATCAAACAATTGCCACACATTCCTACAAATGGGACAATACCCACGATGACAAAAAGTCCAACTACATGCTTTGAACTACCAATCTCTCTTTTTTGTACGAAGAAACCAAAAAATGAGAGAAGAAAAGCGAAAGAAGTAAACCATCAACGAGCAAGAGTATTTATGAGGACATCATGACCGCTTTATACAGCTAGTGGGTTGAGCAACGTGATGTATTACTATTGAGTGTTGATATAGTCCATCTCCTTAGCATAAGTGGACCCTAGCATTACTACAACGCAAGCAAATAAACTCGTGGGGAATTTCTTTGGAAATTCCAAAACCTATTATATGGCTGTTAATAAAATCTTAAACTTTCAGATTTGGCCACTATATTCCTAAGCCTTTTGATGATTTTCAGTCAATCTGTCAGATATTATAGACATGGACGCCGGCTATCATACATGGCACGATTGGCGATTTGATGTGTCCAATGGGACTCAAATTGTTGTCATTTTGAGAATTTCTTTTTAACTTATTTCATTCTTTTCTTTTTTCTTCGTTTTCTTTTTATTTTTTTCCTTCATTAGATTTTCAATCGGCGAGGGCGGCCCTCCCCTGGATCTTGGCAAGGGTTGACACCCTCACCTATGGCTCCCGCGGCCCCTGTTGGCCGGAAATCCGATGAAGAAAAAAGAAAAGAAAAGAATAAATATAAAATTTTCTCCAAACGACATCGTTTTGAACCTCGTCGGACTCGTCAAATCACTAGTCGTGTCACGTGGGATGGCCGGTGCTAACTTGATTGCTATGACAGTGATTTCTAGCCTAAATTGGCGGGAAGGATTACATTGAAAATTTGTCAAAAGGTTTAAGACTACATTAGCCATATTGGAAAGTTTATAATTGAATTGGCGGTTAAATAATAGGTTTATGACTTTTTTAACAATTTTCCCGTACACTTGTTGTATATGACATTTATTATCATGTTACATGTATATTTTTGCCACCTAATTGGTTAAATTCTTAGATTGAAAATACTTAGCATGATACCCGAAGTGTCAATTGAAGCCCTATTTATTACCTAGTATTTTGTGATTTTTCATGCTTAGCCAGAGCATCACAATTGTTTGCAACACATATATGCCTCATCGTTGATGTGGGGTAGATAATACCTGAAGTCATGGAGCCATAAGCACAAGTTCGTTTCTTGGACCACAAGCACAAGTTCAACCCTCTCTCTATTTAAGTCGCCACCACCATTTGAATTATGGCCACCTTCTTTGCAAACGAAAGTGACAAAACTACCGCATAAGAACAGCAAACAGGAGCTGTTGTGTCTACGCACGCACACAAGCCTTCTCCAATGGCCATCCAATCTTCTTCCGCCCCTCTATATGAAAAGATAAGCCTAAAAAAACGTTTGAAGAGGGCCGTCGAGATCCTCATCTTGTTCCTTCTCGTCTCTCTTCTCGCGTATCGGCTTTTGCACATCAAGGACCACGGACTTGAATGGCAGATCGCTCTTCTGTGCGAGTCGTGGTTCACGTTCGTGTGGGTTCTCGTCATCAGCACCAAATGGAGCCCCGTGAGCTACAAAACTTACCCTGAACGTATCTTGCAAAGGTATAACAATAGAACAAGAGCTAGGTTTTTCACATGGCTTTCATTTACTTTAAATCTTCACCTATTTCAGCATCATCGTATTGTTCCTGTCGCGAGCTCTCAATCCCAAACTCCTTAGCGATACAGCTTCTAGCACAGCTCGCTATCTCTTTCTCTCCCTCGTTTTGAACACTACTTAGCATGGTTTTCTTTCTGAGTTTCTAGTGACGGTATTATCGTTGCGAAGACTAATTTCGGAAGATATTTTTTTCTTTCCTTTCTGTTCCAAGTTTAGCGCTTTCATAGGAGATCATAACTTGAATCTAACGTGCTGAAATGAATCTTGGAAAGTTACAATTCGATTTTGTTCAGTTTTAAAAGATATGTTCTGATTGAAATACCTGTGTTGTACAATATTAACGTATGTTCCTCGTGGAGTTCGGGTTATCAGCGTTCTATAAGTTGGTTGTGTCCAACCAAGTTATACTTTTTGAGTTTAGTTCCTTAATTGCAGTTTTTTTTTAACATTTTTCTTCATATAGGGTAACAGAGCTTCCTCCGGTGGACGTCTTTGTCACGACAGCAGATCCGCAGCTAGAGCCACCCATCATCACCGTGAACACGGTCCTCTCTTTAATGGCATTAGACTATCCGGCTCATAAGCTAGCGTGCTATGTCTCCGATGATGGCTGCTCGCCATTGACCTTCTACTCTCTAATGGAAGCTGCCAAGTTCGCAAAGCTCTGGGTTCCGTTTTGTAAGAAGTACAACATTCAATTGCGAGCACCATTCCGTTACTTCGCTGGCAACGCGAAGACATTGTCCAGTGAAGAGTGCTCATTGGAATTCCAACAAGCATGGCACACCATGAAGGTAATGCTAAATCTTTCGAGTCTAGTGTTCATGTGTTGGAGACGGTGACAATAATCGGTGATTCGTTTTAAGGAAGTGCAATATATGAGAGAGAGAGAGAGAGAGAGAGAGAGAGAGAGAGAGAGAGAGAGAGAGAGAGAGAGAGAGAGAGAGAGGATTGGGTATGCACAAGATAAGGAAGTGGAAATACTGAAATTTGTCTTGTTTTTTGACAGGATGAGTACGAGAAGCTGAGCAGGAAGATAGAAGATGCGTCCCAAGGCTCAGTCTTATTTGATTTTACCGGGGAGTTTGCAGCTTTCTCTAACGCAGAACGTAGTAATCATTCCAGTATTATTAAGGTACCGTGAAATTCCTGAGAAAAAATCTTTGTCTAGATTTGGATTAATTATTCTATGATTAATATGTCAGACCAAGTTAACATCAACACGTCACTATTAAATTGTAAAGGGGTTCACTATTTTTATTATGAGCCTCACTGTTTTTATTGTGATTTTGACAAAGATCTTACTGGAAAACAAAGAACGTCATCCAGATGAATTGCCGGATCTGATCTACATATCACGAGAAAAGCGGCCAAAGCACCCACATCATTACAAAGCAGGAGCCATGAATGTCTTGGTGCGTAAGAGTTTCCATCAATGTGTGGTTGCTTTCAACATGAAAACGATCTCACTTTTCTCTTTCTCTGATGTCTCTTTGATGGTTGAACAGACTAGAGTTTCAGGACTCATGACGAATGCACCATTCATGCTAAATGTCGATTGCGACATGTACGCCCACAATCCACAAATTGTTCTTCATGCTTTGTGTCTCCTTCTTGGTACAAAACATGAGAAAGACTGCGCATTTGTTCAATGTCCACAGATCTTCTATGATGGACTAAAGGATGATCCGTTTGGAAATCAAATGGTGGTCTTATTCGAAGTACGTGCAATTCTACTACAAAATAAGTCTTATTTTGAGCCGATTTGCGGCTTATCTACTAATTAGTCTCTGTACCTATAATACTTTTGATGTTAGTATTTGGGACGAGGGATAGTGGGAATTCAAGGACCTTTCTATGCGGGAACAGGATGCTTTCATCGTAGAAAAGTAATCTATGGATCATGGCCAGATGACATGAAGACTAAAGATAGAGGTCTTACCTCTAATGGTATATGCTTTTGTTTGATCGCCAATTGTTCGTTCACGGACTATGTGCCTAGTCATAATAAACCATATTCTTTCATTTGCCAATTTGATTTTTACAGGAGAATTAACCGAGGAAAAATCACTAAATGGATTTGGAGGTTCAAAACAGTTCATCAATTCTGCTACTCATGCTCTACACGGCAATTTAGATCATCCGAAAGATCTTTCGAGCTCTCTTGAAGCAGCTGGTCAAGTCGCTAGTTGCGCCTATGAATACAATACTGACTGGGGTAAAAAGGTCAGTATGCGTCTACATTGATTTCGCACTTTGCACATCTAGATCTGTGTTTTCATAGATTAGTGCACTAATTGTTCTCAACTTTAAAGTTGCACTGCAACGACCCCCATAAGTTCACTCGCATTAACCCAAAAATCTATGATTTCTTCGCGAATACGAATTGCTAGAGACACAATTAATGGTACTAAGTTCTTTGTCTTTCAGCATTTTTGTGACAATGAGAAAAATGGTAAAAATTAATTTGTCAATGTGATAAAATGTTGTGCACGTATTCTCTTGCAGATCGGTTGGATGTATGGATCGACGACAGAAGATATCCTTACAGGATTGGCCATTCATACCAAGGGTTGGAGATCACTCTACTGTTCACCAAATCCACCTGCTTTTCTAGGCTGCGCACCATCTGGTGGACCTGCCTCGATGACCCAGCAAAAGAGATGGGCCACAGGCTTGCTCGAAGTTCTAGTAAGCAAAAAGAGTCCAATATATGGCACGCTATTCGGGCATCTCCATTTCAGGCAATGTTTGGCATACTTGTGGCTCCTAATTCGGGCACTCAGATCCATACCTGAGTTCTTATATGCTCTCCTACCAGCTTATTGTATCATGACCAACTCTCACTTTTTGCCCAAGGTAAGAAGAAACTATAAACAAATATCATTCCTCTGTTCTCAAAAAATTCGCCTCCTTATCTTCCTATCTTGTGTAATCGCAGGGACAAGAACCAGCTATCCTAATTCCAGCTACCATTTTTGTCATCTACAACCTATATTGTTTATACGAGTACTTCATTACTGAGTTGTCAATACGTGAATGGTGGAATAACCATAGAATGCAGTGGATAACATCTGCATGTGCGTGGTCATTTGGACTCTTAAGTGTAGTACTCAAGCTCCTAGGGCTATCGGAGACGGTATTTGAAGTAACCAAGAAAGAACAGTCTGCATCTAGTGATGGTACCAGTGCCGAACTTGGGAGGTTTACCTTTGATGAGTCCCCAGTTTTTATACCGGGCACTGCTCTCCTGCTGGTTCACTTGACAGCAATACTTACAATGTTGCCAGGGTTGCGCCCACAAGCATCCAAAAACAACGGCTTTGGCTTAGGAGAGGTGGCATGCACTGTGTGGGTGGTGTTGTGTTTTTGGCCATTTTTTAGGGGGATATTTGGGAAAGGAAAATATGGGATCCCCGTGACTACTATAATGAAGGGATCTATCCTGACAACTATTGTCGTTTACTCATGTAGATTTACATCCATAAGTTGATAATGGATGCATGCTATTGAATTTTATATCTGCAATATCAAAAGCATGGCTGTACAATGCCTTTGCTTCATAATAGGAGATAAGATTGTCTCGTTTTTTTTTTATTGGAGACAACATTTGTCATGGTTGTGCAATTAAGCACCCGCGCAAGAAATGAAAGTAGTTTCCACAGCGTTCGTACGTGTGTTGTCTGTTTTTTTCTCATTGGACTGGACTGGTTATCATGGATCTTTGCTTCCCCCAGAATCGACAGCAATGATAACAAAAAATAAGAAATAAATTCTTGGCTGTATTTGTAGAGGAGATGGGGCAAAGATGTGACTGACAATGTATGACCACTTCAAGTGGTCGCCACCATAGATGTCCATCAAGAGCCCCGACAAACACTTTCCTTTCATCTCGATGATGAAGGATTCCACAAGTTTCGATGAGTTCTTCCTTAATCAAGCAAAATAATAGTCTCTCTCTCTCTCTCTCTCTCTCTCTCTCTCTCTCTCTCTCTCTCTCTCTCTCTCTAAGAAGGCTATTCGTTTTGTACTTCTCCAACTTGGTGGCGAAGAATGGTAGTTTAGCTCCGAAATCATGGCATGCGTCATCGCGTCACGATTGCTGTTTATAATAAGTTATAGTTGGATGGTTCTTTTGGAGATATTTGTAAACAATGCATGCATTTTCTTGTGGAAGATTGTGGACATTGTGCGATCTTGGCGGTGTTATAAGGTTACTTAAGTCAAGATGATAGCGATCGTAATTCATAAGCAATGATTAGGAAGAACGAGACCAAAGTCGGGAGTTTGAACCGCTTCATTTGCGACATTGATTATGAACTTTTCAATTTTTTATGTAATCGATTACTTAAAATAACAGCACTTTTCTTTTTCCTCGTTTGTTTTAGGTTTTCCTCATTGGCAATACGCTGGTTGTACCGTATCAAATTCTAGATCGCAATTTTAGAACTTATAAACTTTTTTATCCTCAATTGATACGAGTAAAACACGAGACAGACGTGAAAAATAACGAGGGCGCGTGATTTAAAAGAATAGGATTTATCTCGTTCCGATATTATGTTATTTCATTTTGCGCACACATTGAACAAAGCCATTTCAAGTGTATTCGATGATTGTCAATGGTCTTGTTATTATTTGGCTCGTTGGTGGTCCACTAGGCACATTCCTTCTGGTGCAATATCACTGTTCAATCCACTACCAGACATTCGTTTTCGGGTTTCTGAATTTGGTACGTCGTTCGTGCTTACGCAAGCAAAAATTAGAGCAATTTTTTGGGGTTGGAATGGAAAATGTTGATTTAGCCTCGATTTAGTTGCGATCATGCCCTTGTTTAGAAAATTAGAAAGTTCATTTTGCCCTTGGAATAGCTAACTATCAGATAATTCGTAGAATCCCCGTAATTCAATTGATGTCATTTATTGAAAATCAAAATACATGAAAAATTCACGAGGATTTATTCCACGAAATGTCTTGGTCCCGAACTTATCTACCTTCGAAAGTAAGTAAAGGACTTGAAGTAGACATACCGGTGCATAGGGCTGTCAAAAGGGTGGATCAGGTCGAAAATTGTCCAATCCATTTAACTTGTTTTGGTCCATTAATATGCAATACAATTCAATGACTCATCCCCGACCCGACCCGACCCACATTACTAAAACACATAGATATATAAAAATAAGAACTTTTATGCTATGCGTGTAGCGTAAATGATAAAAATTTTAGTAGTTTTATAAGGTTCCAAATAAGATGCTTGACTTGTTTAAGACTTTTTCTTTATTGCAAATTTTTCGAGTTTCTTAATGAAGTATCCGATATTCTTAAAATTAATAAGTCAATAAATATTGACACATAAAATCATATACTAAATTTCATAGTTTTCTAAAGCTTGAAAGATCATAAAGTTTTTACTATTTTTTAAATTTTGAAAAAAAGAAGAAGAAGATCGTAAGTAGAAGATAAAACTAGAAAATAAGTTGCTCCACCGAAAACCTAAGGACAAGTGAAAAGGGACTGCGGGTGGGTTGGACTTTAGACCCATTAAAAATCCACATTTTATTGGAATCATTACTCAAACCTATATCAACCCAATTAGCAATATCTAGCTAACTCATATATGACCTAATTCATCATATGTGGGTTAATAAATTAAATGGGCATTCGAACCAATCTGACACTTCTATTAGTGTGTTTATAATAAATATATTCGCTATCAGTTATTACTGCTTGTGGACTTAACTTTTACATCATCAAAAAACATACATAAAGGTTAAATAAAACGCATCCGAATGGCAAGGGTCCAAGAGATGGTACTAGTACAACTCCTTTTCTATTTGGCCCTGCCCTATATTATCGTTTTATCGCCAAATATGGCCAAAGACACCATCTGCTATACACCTAATTTATCATGATAGATAGCATAAGCTATACAATGCAAGTCACAATAAATAAGGTACACTCACGTTTTGTTAACTACGATAGAGATGGTTTGGACATTCTTTCTATACTAAGCTTGTTGTCAATGAAGATATTTTTTCTTACGTTATGATTGTTGAGAGCACACAGCAGAAGCCCTAGTTAAATCTCCAACACCTACCTTCATCCTTAGTGTCTATCTCCTGACCGAACCATGAAGACTACCATCGGAACCGCGTTGCTACACCACAATGTCCATGTTCTTTCTTTGAAATATTCACCAAACACCGAAACAAATTGGAAGGCCCATCAATCTAACACTCACTCTGATATCATTTGTTGGGAGCACACAGTGAAAACCCGATATCTTCACCTCGAGAAATCGTCAAGAGGGAGTTTAAGTCCAAGCTCGTCAACATATCCAGTTGGATCCATCTTCAATCATAAGCTTAAGCTAATGAATTATTGATCAACTAAGATATATTAACTGCTTCACGTTACATCAATTTTTTAATGTGAGACTTTTATAACATAATTCACACGTGCATTTTAACAATGATATTTTTTAGAAAGAGTTTTTTTTACTCATTTTGGGCCGTACGTGCATAGCATAAGTAGATTAACCGCCAAATCTCTAATCGTTCTCCATCGACCATAAATCTCTAATCGGCACTATTTACACGAAACAGAACTTCTCCATCGACGATACTATTGCTGTAGCCTTGACTGGCAAATCAATACAGCAGTTGTCATGAGTTTCTCCAGTCATGATTGGCACCTATAATCGATACTATAGCTCCTGTGTCCCAACTCCTATTGAATTCCAAAGTACTCAGACTCAAGCAGTAAATTTGCTCACACAGTTGGCCATGTGGTCAAATCAATCGAAGTCGAATTCAAAATCACCGAAGTCAGGCCTCGTGATGATCTGCTTGTACGTTACGAAAATGACAAAATCCGCAGATCTATCCAACATAAGATTCTGATAGGGGTATCGAGTGCAAGTGATCTTCAAAAAAATCGAAATTATAAGACTTCGAGACCTACGGACGGACTGTTTTTATTGTGATTTTAACAAAGATAATATTGAATTACAAAAGAGATTATCCAAATGCATTGCGCAGTTGATCTACGATACGCATCACAAGAAAAGCAGCGGAGCCATGAATGTCCTGTAAGACTTGCGATCAAAGCCTAAGTATGGTCGCTTTCAACTTGAAAACAATCTTATTATTCTTTTCCTTTTATATCTCTTTGATAGATGAAAATTCCTGAATTTTAGGCCTCTTGATCAATGCACCATCCATTTTAAATGTCGATTGCAACAGGTATGCCCACAATTCACAAATTATTCTTCATGCTTTGTATCTTTTTCGGTATAAAATATCAAAGAGACTACACATTTGCTCTATGTTTACGAATCTTTTATGATAGAATACAGGATGACCCGTTTAAAAATCAAAGGGTGGTCTTATTCGAAGTGCGTGCAGTTTTTTTACGATAAAATAAGTCTTATTTTGAGCCAATTTGCAGCTTTCCTCTCTCTCTCACTGTAGCGGCTCTTCGTCTTGTACTTGTCCAAAGTGGTGATGAAGAATGGTAGTTTAGCTTCGAAATCATGGCATGCGTCATTGCCGAGTGCTGTTTATAATAAGTTAAAGTTGCGTGATTTTGGGACATAGTTTTACACAATGCATTTTCTTGCGGAAGATTTTGGTCATTTGCTGAGATCTTTGGTGGTGTTATTAGGGTGATTAAGTGAATCAGACCGCAATCATAAGCATGATTAGGAAGAACGAGACAAATGTCCGTTTGAACCACTTCATTTGGCAAGACACCGGGAGTATCACATCAATTTAGAGATCGCAATTCTAGAGTGCATAATTTTTTTATCGTTGATTAACAAGAAGAAAGCACGAAATGGATGTAAAAGAAAAAGAGGGCGCACGAGTTAAAAGAGTTTAGGGTTTATCTCGTTCCGATATTAAGTTATTTCATTTTCACGAGTTCACGCACACATCGAACAAAGCCATTTCAAGTCTAGCGATAAGACTCTTTTGGCTTGGCGATGGTAGGAATGGAGTTATATGTGTGGTTTAATAGACTTACTTTGTTAATCCAAATCCTCGTATCATTAAGCGTAAACGACTTCGTATTTGAGTTGTCTGTTCGGGTCTTGACTCGAGCCTTTTCTAGATATAATTAGTGAGGCATTTCTTGGGTCCATAATTTATCTATCTAGTCAAAATGATCTTCCTTCACCATAAAACAATGTTGAGAATAATGAAGCTCTTTTCTATTAGTAATCCCTTGGTAAGCTTTTGAAAAAAAGTTACCTCTTTGAATATCAATACATAGTTTAACAACTATTCTTTGATGATTGCGCTTTTACAATGCATATCGCGACCCACGTGATCATAGACATTGAAAATGAAATTCATTACATAACAACTCAAATGTGCCGAAAACACGTAAACTCAAAACCTTCGAAACTTTTGTAACTCGAATTCAAAATAATTACTCAAGTGATATATGTGTTTGTGTTCCTCGCTCAAGATCTAGATCCGAAGATCCTCGAATAGCACAATTATTTTCGTAGCCGGAAAATAAAGAGTGAGAAACTTTTCAACTCAGTTCAATGATTGTCCATGGACACATGACAAGATTTGGCTTGTAGCTCCACTAGGCACATTCCTTCTAGTTCAATGTCACTGACTAGGCCACCACCAACCATTCTTTGTGGGGCTTCTGGATTGGGTACGTCGTTGGTGCTCAAGCAAGCAGAAATACGAGCAGATTTTCGTTTGGGGTTGGAATTTGCGATAATGACCTTCTTGGGAAATTAGAAAGTTCAATTTGCCCCCTCTCTTCCATCGCATAAGATGATTAGAAAACTAGAGGAGCTAAAACTATCGGATAATTAGCCGAATTCGCATAATTTGATCAATGATTTATTCATCAAAAATCAAAATGCATGGAAAATCCACGTGAAGGAAATTTTATTTTGAAGCGTCTTTAGCAGAGTATTTGTACTATTTACAGTTTTTGAAGTAATTGCTAGCTTAAAGCCGTCCATGTTTATGAAGTGCATATATTTGCTATGAGTTGTCACTACTTGTGGAATTTACTTTTGCATCGTCAAAGACACAAACTCTGTAGGCATAAATGTCAAATAAAACGGAAATTCATTAAGGTCCGAATGGGGCCATATACACCACGAGATTGTACCTATCCCATTCCTCTTCTGTAGGGCCACGCCCTAGATTGTCGCACGATGACAAAAAGACGTGCAGTTAGGATGTGGACTACCAATCTCTCTTGGCATATTGAAAACAACAAAAGAAAAGAAGAACAGAAGCAACCCCTTTACGAGTAAGAATACTGCGAGGTACATAATGACCGCTTTATAAAATTAGGGTATTAAGTAGACCTGTCAAAATGAGTCATAAACTCATATATTAGTAAATGAATCATAAATGGATATAATGGGTGCTAAATGGGTCATAAATAGATTTACGATTTATTTAAGCTCAACTCATCTCTCTCGCCCTCATTCAATCTAGCGCTCACTTAATCTAGCGCTCTCATTTCAATTTAGGTACGAGTTTTCTTTGATTGAGTTAAATATTGAAGTGTTTTAGTATTATGGGTTGGGTCGGGTATAGGTCATTAGATTTGCATTACATGAAAATAGGTCAAAACGGATTAAAAGGATCTATTTAGGTCGAACCATTTTTTACCCAACCCAAACCCGATCCAACCCACCCGTTTGATAGGTCTAGTATTAAGTAATACAACATTATTATTATTATTATTGAGTAGTGAATATAGTCCATGTTAGCATACCGATTTTGTGGACCTTGTTGGTTTTTCATGCTTAGCTAGCATTGCAATTGTTCGCAACACATGTATACCAGACAATCTTATCCGTCATTTAATTACTTGTCGATCCGCACAGACATGGTAGATATGAGTACTCTATCATCACCTATCGTTCATGTACCCTAGGCACAAGTTCAACCTCTCTCTATATAAGTCGCCACCACCATTTGAGCTATGGCCACCTTTTGTACGCACAAGACCAGCGAATAGAAACGGCAGAAACAAGAACTGGTGTGTGCACAGACGCAAGCCTTCTCCAATGGCCATTCAATCCACTTCCACTCCTCTATATGAGAAATTTAGCCTGAAAAGCGATGCGAAGAGGGCAGTCGAGATCTTCATCTTGTTCCTCCTCGTCTCTCTTCTCGCATATCGGCTTGTGCACCTCGAGGACCGCGGATTTGAATGGCAGGTCGCGCTCGTGTGCGAGTCGTGGTTCACGTTTGTGTGGGTTCTCGTTGTCAGCACCAAATGGAGCCCCGTGAGCTACAAAACTTTTCCTCAACGTATCTTGCAAAGGTATAACAATAGAGCAAGAGCTATCTTTTTCAAATGGCTTGCTTTACTTTACTTTGAAACCTCAACTATTTCAGGATCATCGAATTGCTTCTGTCATGAGCTCTCGATGCCAAACAGCTTAGCGCTACAGCTACTGGTATAGCTCGATTTTTCTTTCTTTTTATCATCTCGACTACTCCGGATGTTTTTCTTTACCGAGATTCTAGTGACGGTAATATCGTCACAAAGAACCTATTTTCTGATAACATTGGTCCCCTTTCCTTTCATTTCCAACTTCTGCGCTTTCATAGGACAAATAACTTCTACCTAACTTGCTGATATGAATTTTGAGAAGTAACAATTCCATTCAGTTCAGTTTTGGACATCTTCCGACTGAAGTACCAGTATCGTACAATATTCACGTATGTTCTTTGTGGATTTCGGCTTATGAACGTTCTAAAAGTTGGTTCTGTCCAACCGAGTTATCTTATTTAGGTTTAGTTCCTTATTACTGTTTTTGTTTTTCACATCTCCTTCAAATAGGGTAAACGACTTTCCTCCGGTGGATGTCTTTGTCACAACGGCAGATCCGCAGCTAGAGCCACCCATCATCACCGTGAACACGGTCCTCTCTTTAATGGCTGTGGACTATCCGGCTCATAAGCTGGCGTGCTATGTCTCCGATGATGGCTGCTCGCCGTTGACCTTCTACTCTCTAATGGAGGCTGCCAAGTTCGCAAAGCTCTGGGTCCCGTTTTGTAAGAAGTACAATATTCAATTGCGAGCCCCATTCCGGTACTTCGCCAGCGACGCGACGACATTGTCTGGTGAAGACTGCTCATTGGAATTCCAACAAGCACGGGACACAATGAAGGTGATGCTCAATCTTAGGAGTCTAGTGTTTATGTGTTGGAGATGGTCACAATGATCGGTGATTCTCTGTAGGTTAGTGGATGAGAGAGAGAGAGAGAGGATTGGGCATGTACAAGAAATGGATGTGTCATTACTCAAGTTTGTCTTGTTCTTTGACAGGATGAGTACGAGAAGCTGATCAGGAAGATAGATGATGCAACCCAAGACTCATTCCCATTTGAGTTTACAGGGGAGTTTGCAGCTTTCTCCAACACAGGACCTAGAAATCACCCCACTATTATTAAGGTACAGTGAAATTTTTGAGAGGATATCCTTATCCAGTTTTGGATAAAATGGTTCTATGATAAATATGGCAGACCAAATCAACATCGATACGTCACAAGTAAATTGAAAATTTAGGATCCAAATGCTTTGTAATCCAATAATTACCTCTCGTTCTTTCAATTGAATTGCAATTAAATATGTCACAAGGAAATTGAAAATTTAGGATCCAATTTTTTGGGGAAAATTACCAAAAAAGTCCTAAATCTTTTGCAATTGTACCAATTCAGTCCTAAACCTTTTTCTTTTGCTATTTCGGTCTTAAACCTTTTACAATTGTGCCAATTCAGTCCATCCAGCCACTTTTAGCCGGTCGGCACTGATGTGGGCGACGGCCAGCTGACGTGGCATTATTTTAATATTTTTTTTGCTTTCTCTTTTTTTTTTCTTTCCTTCTTCCCCCTGGTCAGACCGGCCAGGGGGAGGCTCGCCGGCTAGGTGACCTCGTCGGCCATGGGCGAGGTCGACCTCGCCCAGCGACGGCGAGGCCTTGCCCAGATCTGGCAAGGCCTCGCCGTCGCTGGGCGAGCTCAACCTCGCCCAGCCATGGCGAGGTCGACCTCGCTGGCCATGGGCGAGGTCGAGCTCGCTCAGAGACGGCGAGGCCTTGCCGTCGCCGGGCAAGGTTGACCTCGCCCATGGCCAGTGAGTTCGGCCTCGCCATGGTCGGCGAGGCTCCCCCTGGCCGGTCTGACCAGGGGGAAGAAGGGAAGGAAAAAAAATATTAAAATAATGCCACGTCAGCCAGCCGGTATCCACGTCAGCGCCGGCCGGCCAAAAGTAGTCGGATGGACTAAATTGGCACAATTGCAAAAGGTTTAGGACTAAAATGGCCAAAAAAAAAAGGTTTAGGACTAAATTGGCATAATTGCAAAAGGTTTAGGACTTTTTTGGTAATTTTCCCAATTTTTTGTAAAGAGATTCACCATAAATTCTAATACTTCTCAAAATTTGAAAGAATTTGAGATTGCACCGTAAAAAGCTTATGTCTCTCTCATTTTTTACACCATGCCTCCCCCGTTAAAGGCTCATATATGTCAGGTCCTTGAGTTGGGATCAAACTTGCTTGCTGTAAAATTGATTATGTTCATTTCTTTTTCGGCAATTTCCACTGCCAAGGCCGCCCTTTATCTATAGCATGATCAAGTTATTCAGTAAGGGAAAAAGAAAAGGTTACCGAGACTCCAAAGGCAGTTATCATGAATTTGTCCATTCATGATTGGCGCCTATACTCGATATTCCATTACTAAAATGACAAAATCCGCAGATCTATCTAACATAAGATTCTTCTAATGACATTGAGTGCGTGATCCTCCAAAATATCAAAATTATCTTACACTCACTGTTTTTGTTGTGATTGTAACAAAGATTATACTGAAAAACAAAGGAGGTCATCCAGATGCATTGCCACACCTGATCTACATATCACGTGAAAAGAGACCAAAGCACCCACATCATTACAAGGCAGGAGCCATGAATGTCCTGGTGAGCAAGACTTTCCATCAAGGCCCGAGTGTGGTTAACTTTCAACATGAAAACAATCTTATTATTCTTTTACTCTCATGTCTCTTTGATGGATGAACAGACCAGAGTTTCAGGACTCATGACAAATGCGCCATTCATGCTAAATGTCGATTGCGACATGTACGCCAACAATCCACAGATTGTTCTTCATGCTTTGTGTCTCCTTCTCGGCACAAAACACGAGAGAGACTGCGCATTTGTTCAATGTCCACAGTACTTCTATGATGGAGTAAAGGACGACCCATTTGGAAATCAATTGGTGGTCTTACAAGAAGTACGTTCAATTTTACTATAAAATAAGTCCTATTTTGAGCCAAATTGCAACTTCTTTACTGATCAGTACGTGTACCTATAATATTGTTGATGTTAGTATGTGGGACGAGGGATAGTGGGAATTCAAGGGCCTTTCTATGGGGGAACAGGATGCTTTCATCGTCGGAAAGTAATCTATGGGTTATGGCCAGATGACATGAAGACCAAAATGAAAAGTTTTTCCTCTAATGGTATGTGCGTATGTTTGGTCACCAATTGCCCGTTGATGGGACTATGTGCCTAGTCATAATAAACCATATTTTCCCATTTGCCAATTTGATTTTTACAGGAGAATTAACCCAGGAAGAATTACTAAACGGTTTTGGAAGTTCAAAACAATTCATCAACTCTGCTGCTCATGCTCTACAAGGCAATTCAGATCATCCCAAAGATCTTTCGAACTCTCTTGAAGCAGCCTGTCAAGTCGCTAGTTGCACCTATGAATACAATACTGACTGGGGGAAAAAGGTCAGAGTGTGTCCACATTCATTTCACACATTTAAATGTCCATACATCTAGTTTTATGTAAAGATTAATCTAATCATGGCTCAGAACTCTAAAGTTGCTCTGCTACAACCACCCTTAAATTTCATTGTCATTGGCCTGAAGATCTATGATTTTTCCACAAACACGGATCACTAGGCACATGATTTATGGTACTAAGTGTTCTTTTTTTAAGCATTTTTGTGACAATGAGAAAGATGGTATAAATTTAATTTTTGGGCATGAGAAATGTTGTGCTTGTGTCTTCTTCAAGGTTGGTTGGATGTACGGATCAACGACAGAAGACATCCTTACAGGAATGGCCATCCATACCAAGGGTTGGAGATCACTCTACTGTTCACCAAACCCACCGGCTTTTCTAGGCTGCGCACCATCTGGTGGGCCTGCCTCAATGACCCAGCAAAAGAGATGGGCCACGGGCCTGCTCGAAATTGTAGTGAGCAAAAGGAGTCCAATATATGGCACCCTATTTATGCATCTCCATTTCAGGCAGTGTTTGGCATACCTGTGGATCCTAATTTGGGCACTGAGGTCCATACCTGAGTTTCTATATGCTCTCCTACCAGCTTATTGTATCATGACCAATTCCCACTTCTTGCCCAAGGTAAGAAGAATGTAAAACAAGTATCACCCCTCTATTTTCAAGAATCTACCTCGTTATCTTATTATCTTGTGTAATGCAGGGACAAGAACCAGCTATCATAATTCCAACAGCCATTTTTGTCATCTACAACCTATATTGTTTATATGAGTACTTCATCATTGGCTTGTCCATACGTGCATGGTGGAATAACCACAGAATACAGCGGATAACATCTACATGTGCTTGGTCATTTGGAATCTTAAGTGTCGTACTCAAGCTCTTAGGGCTATCAGAGACGGTATTTGAAGTAACCAAGAAAGACCAGTCCGCATCCAGTGAGAGTACCAGTGCCGAACTTGGAAGATTCACCTTTGATGAGTCCCCAATTTTTGTACCAGGCATTGCTCTTCTGCTGGTGCAGCTGACAGCATTACTTACAATGTTGTTAGGGCTGCGCCCACAAGCATCCGGAAGTAGCTGCTCTGGCTTAGGAGAGGTGGTCTGTACAGTGTGGGCAGTTCTGTGTTTCTGGCCCTTTTTTAGGGGCCTATTTGGGAAAGGAAAATATGGGATTCCCTCGACTACTATAATGAAGGGAGCTATCCTAGCAACCGTTGTAGTTTACTTCTTTAGATTTACATCCACAAATTGATAAGGGCTTTGAATTGTTGAATTTTGTATTTGCAAAATCGAAAGCATGATTGTACAATTAATCATGCTTTTTGTTTCCAATAGAAGACAAGATATTCTCATCGTTTTTATGAAATTCTCACAGAGCAGCAAATTTTCACGTTCCATGTACTGAAATATATCTATAAATATAACTCAGTAGTTAGTAGATAATCATAAATAAGGAAGTTAGGGTTTTGTTAGGGTATCTTATGCTTCATATAAAGTGCCGTGTATGTACCCTTTTACTAAGATTTAATTAAACATGAAGCCTTTGAGCCTCATCTCTTCCATTCTATCTTGAAGATCCTAGAATAGCTACACAGTGAACTCTATGATAGAGTGAATGCTACATCTCAGGTCCAGAGGGTTAAAATGGCACAAATTTCCCTCTTTCCAACTACATAATGAAGCATGGTGAAGAGCTACAAGCATAAATAACAATAACAGAAAAAGCGTTATGCTTATCACAGTTTAAATCACAAAGATAGCAATGTCTTAAAATGCATGGCGAGTAGACAAGAGCTCATTGTTGTGTCCAGGCATTAGGGCAGAGAAATGATAAATACTTATTTCTCACAAAATTCACATATGATCCAGCTAAACAGAGGTAAAATTCTGTAATGGAATTTATCATTTAATCTTAAGCAATCTTGTGGACTTCACAATCACAATTGACTCAAAGGAAAACTGATTTTCACAGCCCTAAGGTCTACCAAAAATTGGAGGGGAAAAGAGATGGACATGCCTAAAAGATATGAACTACAATACAAAAACAAATGAAAAGGATTTCAGAGACTAATCTCGATCTTGAGAAGAATTGGACCTTTCTGACCTTGGGGGAATTGATAGCTTGCTATCAAGCATAAACGAGAGATCATTCATCTGAGACATTAGCATGTTGGCGTCCTCACTCTTTCTCACATTTAGATTCATACCTTCACCTTTGGCACCACCTTCTTCGCTTCTATAATTAGAATCCAAATCGTCCAGCCTAAATATGTAAAAGGCAAAGAGACAAATTAGAACATCTACATCCACCATGTTTCAAGATAATTACTACAACATTTGAGCTTGGAGAAAGCCAAAATTCCAACATTGAACAACGATCACCAAGAAGATTTCAACTCTGATAATATATAAAGGTACTCTGCTAATTTTTACAATGGCAAATATCATATGAGAAAATATTCAAAATGGATTAAAGGGGAAACATGTTAGGAAGAAAGCTTCATTGTGAAGAAACGGAAATGACAATCCAAGAACTTAGAACATGCGAAAGACACTTCAGGAATTGGAAAAATACATAATCATCGAAGGGCAATGGCTACTTATCCTACTCCACACCACAATTATAAATTCACAGCAGAATCTACACATAAGGGAACCCACAACAACTTGTCCCTACAGCAAAAAGCAATGCTATTTACGTGCTACTTTAATGGAAAAGATTTGCACTAGCTTCGACCAGAATCACAATCATAACCAAGTGGCAATCTAAAACAGATGATGCCATGCAAAAGACAGGTGATAGATGACATGTAAACATAAATTCTTTATTTAAGAATCCGTGTGAAAGTGATATACTGGCTTGACTATAGTGAAGCAAATTCTTTGTGGAAGCAAAATGAGTCACCACAAGAAATGGGTGCACATATGCAGGTGACACATGCCCCCACATGCACATGACATGCAAATGCATGGTTAAGCTCACACTTTCAACAAAAAAGCCATTACCGGTTCCTCTCTAAAGCAGAAAAATTTGAATGCGCTTTCTCATGGACTGGATCATTAGAATTGCTAAACAATCCCGAAAAGACATCAGGTTTCAAGGCATTGCAAGAATCCATCTGTTGTGAATCACTCTCAGAGCTGAACAACTTTATTTCAGAAGATTGCTGCGGAGGCAGTCCGAGGTCATTATTTGCTTTCCACAAATTGTTATAAGCCGGACTAGTTGAGTTTGCAAAATCATCCCAGACATTGAGAGAACCATCATTCTCCTCAGCAGATTCACCGTGACGTGAAATGCTGCCACCTGTGAGCCACTGATTATCCTGAACCCAATCAATATTCATTGAAGAAATGTTTGGGGCACCCATGGACCTAGTGTCTTCAACTTTATCATTTGTTTTAGATCCCTGGTAGTAGCTATCTGACCTAAAACCAGAATTGCTCATATTATCCTGAAACAAGTCGTCTATTTTGGAGGAAGAAGGTGGACCATCCTTAGCATCTGCACCTGCATATTGTTTTCCAGGTCCAAACACAGCATCCATATGGCCAGAAAAATCAACTACAGAACCTGCAAAAGGGTCTGATGATCTAGATTTCTTAGCATGACTTTCAGAATCTGCAGATTGAAACTCTGCGTCCCAGGCAGCCATTGAGTTGTCATTCTCGTATTCGGAGGACTGGACAGTTCTAGCAGAAAGCTGCACGTTCTCAAGGAAACTCATATCATCCAGACCTTGAAAGGCATTGCCATCTGCACTTCGACTCTGCTTGTTTGCTCCTGACCGCCCTTCAGATCCAGCTGGAGTGATTTCTCTCTTTGCTTCACTAAATAAGTTCTCAAAGTCAATATTTTAATATCTAAACTGAAAAAAAATCAAAGGTAAACTGAACACTCAATTCTAGGATTGTCAGAACTCTTCCGCTTCTTTTCAAGTTATCATTATTGAGAGAGAGTTTCTTACTTTACTGTCGCCTTCCTCTTCTTTTACTTCTTGAATCTATTATTAATAGCACATCGATAGTAGGACTACAAGCTGCTATGGAGCAATTCTATCCACATTCTTCTGATGAATTGTCACTTCTAAGGTAATTGTCCTAGACTTACTTCTTTTTTCTTCTTCTTTTAGTACAGAATATAGCTCTTTTCCCATTAGGTATAGTGGAAATCTGCATATGTGCGTAAATGCCTTGATTGATATAGTCAATTATTTATCATGTATTTGAGCTCTCTTTGATTTTGAGAGCTGTTTTGTATATGGCTTTACTTTTTTGGGCTCTTTTTGTATATGGGTTTGCACCCCCCTTGGTGCCCTATAGTTGAACTTCATACCTATAAAATAGCTTTTCTCCTTTTATATATATCTTTTATTATTTAAAGAAAGTAGATATCAGAGTGAACTGAGACTGACTTAATTCAAACTTAACAGCAACAAACATCTGAGACAAACATTTGGCTCGCAAAGATTGTAATAGTAACAAAAATGAAACAAGAAAATAATCTAGTCATGTCATATTTAACATGCAAAAATAGTATTATTGTCTACACATAAGAAAGAGGGAAAAGTTATTATGTCCCAACGTGCAGACAATGCTCAAACGTAAATGAAATATCTTTTTCGCATTTAATGATTAATTATCTACAACTCACAGTTTGCAACTATTTGATATATCTCTAGGTTCTAATATCGTAAAATTGAGTTCATTTTGTCTAGAAACTTTGCTCGAAGATATAAGATAAAAAGGATGATCCCTGGTCAGGCAGGAATAGAATTTTGTAGAAGAACCCACAACGTGGGGATGCATCAATGGTAGCATCTTATTTCGCTGGGCAAGATAAAGTAAAATGATTCCATCCCTAACCCACGCTGGTACCATCCCTAGTCCCAAGCAATATTGTGCCTGTGACTCATCAAATGTAAATATATTCCTGAATTCAGCAATCACTACAGTAAGGATGACAGAAGCGGAAGAATTAAAGTGAGGTAAATATAGAAAGCTAAAACAGCGATGTCAACAGTGAATGCACACGAGGCCACAACCATACCCACAGATGCACATGCAAGGATGTGCTCATGAATGCAAAAAAAGAAGCAGCCAAGGATACCTATCTAAGCCGGAAGCTTCAGACTTCAAGTTCTCATTGACTGAAACATTTGCAATGCCAAATGATCCAAAGAAGGGATCAGGTTGCAAAAGATTGCCAAAATCCATATCCTCTGAGTTGCTCCCCGACTTGAAAATGTTCATATCTGAAGATTGCTCAGAATGCATCACAAGGTCATTATTTGGTTTCCAAGTATTGATATCTGCTGGATTAGTGGAGCTTGTAAAATCATTCAAAGCATCATTAGAATCAACGTTCTCATCAACTCTTTCAACATGACGATCAATGTTGCCACCACTTGGCCATTGATTATCCTGAACCCAAGCAACACTTGTTGAAGAACTCTCTGCAGTGTCATTGACCTTACTCGTATCCACATTATCATTTGTTTTAAAACCCTCATTATGGCCAGTTGACTCGAACACCGAATAACTCCTCGGATCATCTTCAAACCAGTCGTCCATTTTGGAGGAAGATGGTGCACCATCTTTAGCATCAGTGCTTCTCAATTCTATTCCAGATCCAAAGACAGAATCCATATGGGTAGAAAGATCAACTGTAGAATTCGCAAAAGGGTCCAGCGGTCTGGAATCCTTAGTAAAAGCTTCAGAATCAGCGGATTGAAACTCTGGCTCCCATGAAGACATTGTGTTGTAGTTCCCATGTTCAGGAGACTGGACAGGTTCAGTGGAAGACTGCACATTCTCAAACAAACTTAGATTCTCAGGACTATGGAAAGCAATGCTTTCTGCATTTTCACTCTGCTTGCTTGCTCCAAGCTGCTCTTCAGATTCATTTGGAGTGATTTTCGTCTCCACTTCCCCAAAAAAGTTGTCAATGTCAAGCCCAGCCAGATTCAGAGAAGTTTTTGCGAGGCCTGACTCATTGGTAATAATTGTTCCAGGTTTCTCTGGCTTAGAGGACCATCTGATCTCTAAATTTAGCAGATCGGACAGGGGAATTGAATCTTTTGGCATACTCCGCCCTCTGTTCGACTCATTTCCTTCAGAAAATGGTTCGACAGTCTCCTGGAAGCCAATTTACACACTAATCATGGCATATACTTATTAACAATAATAATCAGAAATAAAACCAGAGTGTGAAACAGATGTTTTCTTGTCTATAGTTTAAAATTACAGCTCTCAACCAATTAAACCAATATCATAAACAGTCAAAAAAACCAATAGGAAAATCACTGAAAACCTAAAGAATGACAGAACAGATGCCCAAAACCACAAAGCTCGTGCAAAAAGAACCATCTACGGTTCAGCCCTGCAAAGACTGTGCTTAAGTAAATGCGTTATAGTTCTCTGACGACAAAATATGCATGACAGGATCCTATAGAATTAGAGCCAGAGCCAATAAAAAGAACCGTGAAAAGTTATAACCAATAGTTCAAATGCTTAGTGAGCCAAATCTTAAACCCGAATCTTTAATGCTCATCAGAAGACTCCACATGCAAAATAAAACATAAATACAGAATTATGAACTTATGCTCTCTTTGGCATGACAATTGGCATCCTAAAAGCAATTTGGCTGAGATTTATCCTAGTAGGGTTATCTATAACTCTGCTTTGGATAGGAGTGCTAAGGTCTCGCTGTCATAAGAGGAATTGATTGGTTTTGGCCTCTGCTAGATCAAATGATCTGGTTGAAATTCACGCTGAGCTGTGTGGAACTTTAATGCCTTGTTCTCAACCAGATAGAGTGGTCTCTTCGGCTCTATATTTGGTGGATTTCACTAAGGTCAATGCTTGGAGCTTAACTAGGGAGAAGCAGGCTAAGGTGACTCGGCATAGGCTAATTTGGTTTAATCCAAATATGCTAAGATTTTGCTCTATTTTTGGCTTGATATTCTTAACAAGTTGCAGACTTATGATAGATTGGGCAAATGGCAGAATGTAAATGATTTTTGTGTCCTCTGTGGATTGAAGCCTGAATCAAGGAGTCATTTGTTTTTTGAAATTTTTTTTGTTTTTTGAATTTTTTTTTCTCCTCTGAAGGATGGAGTAGGCTTTTGCAGCTATGTGCCATAAGAAGATTAGTTGGAGATTGGGATGCTGAGTTTATGTGGGTATTGCAGACACCAAAGGGGAGGAGGTCTCTGACAAAAGTGTTCATAACGATGGCATGGCATGGGGCCATTCATTTCTTGAGGAGGCAAAGAATGGCTAAGTTTCACAATGGTGGAGTTCCTTGAGCTGAAAAGGTTTTCAAGGTTATCTTGTCTGTGATTAGGCTTAAGGTTGCTGGTTTGCTGGAGGAGAAAGAAGCTGCTTTGGCCCGAGCTGGTAAAAATTCGGGTGCTTCTTGGGGGCATATCGATTCCTGGAATTGGTTAGGAGAATGATTTGTCTCTACTTTGTCCGTTTCATTGCGCCATAATGCTTTAGTTGTATTAGTTTAGCATCAGGGGAACTGAAATTTTAGGCTTGATGTTTTTGCTAGACATCTTGAATTGAGATTAAGACCTTAACTGAGTCTGTAACGGGAAGTGACTCTCCTACGGTTTGATGTTTCGATCTTAATTATCAAAAAACAAAATTGCTGAATGCTGCAGCTTGCCAACTGAATCACTAGGCCAAACATTTACCATCCAGGAAAAGAGCAGCAAATATACCTTCGAACAAGCAAAATCTAAACAAGTCAATCTAATCCCTAATCACGCCAAACTTCCCCAAATTCACGCACAATCCAGAGCTGCTGCACTCAACATTAAACCGACAATCGAGATGATGCAGAAGCCTCACCGATCCATCCAGCTGCAGCGCATCGAGCAGCCAACGGTAACCGCGCGTGGACCTGAAATTGACCGGGTCGGGGGGGACGCCGCCGAGCTGCTCCTTCCCGCAGAAGACGCAGAACGCGGAGCCGACGCCGCTGAGGAGCCTCCCCCCGCAATGCTTGCAGCGCAGGTGCGGCGGGCACGGATCGAGCCCGGAGATCGATTCCTCGTAGGAGCGGAGCGGCGGGATCGAAGGGTCGTCGGGGTCGTAGGAGGGGATCTTCGCTTCCTCCCGGAGCGCCATCTGGAGCCGCTTGACGGCGTCGCGAGGGACGTCGAGCGACATTGATTCAGATCATGCGGCGGGGGTGCAGTTGCAGGTGGCGATATCGGGGGAAATGCTGTGAAGTGAAGAAGATGACACACTGTCTGACAGAGTTTCGGTTTTTTTCCATTTATTTTTTAGGACGACAGCACGAAAAACTTCAGAATGCCACGCTTATTATAAATTTATTTCAAATTAATTTTTTAACTGCTAAAAATCATAAACCGATACACTTATAATAAATTTATCCTAAACAAACTTTTTAACTATAAAAAATCTCAAATTTATACACCTATAACAAATTTACCCTCCGTTAAATTGGATTAATACCTCGAAAAATCACAAACTGGTACACCTGTAACAAACGGAGGGTAAAATCCAAAACCGATACACCTGTCAACTACCATATGTCATCCAACTTAGAAATTTGATAGTAAAATTTAACAGAAACTAATTGACATTAAAATTGTTATAAGTATACCAGCTTAGGGATTTTTGTGATTAAAAAATTAATTTCAGATAAATTTATCACAGATGTACTAATTTGAATTTTTTTATGATATTAACCCTTGTTTTTTTGCCGATCTCAGGCAGAAAAAGAGCGAAAGAAGCAAAAAGAAGAGAAAACACCGAAGGAGTGATTATCGAGCCCATCAATCAATCGTGCACGCGTATACTTTGGGGGCCCAAAACGATCCGGCCCACATGTCAACCTAAGAGTGGACAGCTAAAACGTAGAAGCCGAGTAGGCGGATTAGTCTGAGTGGAGAGAAAAAAAAAGAGGACTGAACCCACGTATGTGGCAAGTACGGGGATGGAGCTGTACATACGACTTTCGTCGAATACGTCCTCCCTATCCTGCTAGGATTTACATTTGGTTTTTCAATTTTTCGATATCAATATATAAAAGGCTGTCCGATTTACCACTGAACTAGTAGGAAAAACGGGGGATTAGATCTCATAGAGTTCAATGAATCTGGGGTAATTAATGAACAAAATATTACAGAATTTAAAGTAACTCTAGTCTACGGTCTGATGAATGAATCCTCGGAACTCGTGTGAGAGTTGATTTAACTACCCTAATTGTGGCAACAAATTTGGTAAATTCTTTACTTTATGTTTTGTATCGTGAGAATATGATTTCCTTTGATAGAGAAGGGTGTGCCTTATTATATTTCTATATTTAGGATCCGACTTGTATCATTGATACTAATAGGAACGGAAAGTTTATCCTAGAAAGGCCTCAAAGAGGCAAGAAATAGAATCCTGCCAATTGTTCTTGTGCCCTAGTCGAATCTTTATGCGTGGAAGTCATCACTTCAAGCCTGATTATCCTTAAAATCAATGCAAGTTTTTCTATTTTAACTTAATTAATTCGCGAAGTTTTTTAAAACCACCAGTGAGATACAAAAGAAATACGTGCCGAATCCTGAGTTGAATTACTTACCCCTCAATCTATTGGTGAACCATCTATCCTATGAATGAAGACATAATTTATCTGGATCCTACTTCCCGAGATTGAGGGTTAAGCTAAGTTAAGTTCTTTTTCTCCGATTCTGTTAATGCCGTCAACGCGAACTGCTGACGATTCTCTGTGCCTCGAGCAGTTAGATTGGGCCTATTGATTGTGTTTAAAACGATAATCTTATCCCTGGTCATATAATTGGTGTCATATGAAAAATCTGATTTTCTGTAGTAATCTGCTGAAGACCTACCTGCTCTTCTTAGGTGGTCCTTCGTGAGGAAATATGTTTTCAACACGGGCTGGATCGATTAACTAGGCACAATTGCAATTTAGTAAACCATCACTTTGTTCTTGTTAAATAATTCATACATCATTTGGGCTGGATTGAATTTTGAAGGCGTGGGCTCGAGATTGAGACCCGCTTTATGAAGAGGTCATCGCTGTGTATAAATATATGGGCTGGGCCTCAAGCCCAACAAAGCCCGAGTTGCCCCGTGCAATACAAACGCAGGTCGACTCATCTGGCCTTCTCGACCGCCGTGATCGAGCTCGAGCTGCCGCTGACGGAATCGTACCGTCGGAACATGTAGGCGACGAAGAGGCACGCGGTGAGGGTGACGTAGTCCTTGGCCGCGCACTGCTTGTTCGACTCGGTCGGCGACCCGGTCTGCGGCCCGTTGGACCAGTACAAGTAATTCAGCAGCTCGCCGTTCTGGACGAACCGGTCCGATTTGAAACTCTCCGGTTCGTCGAACACTTTTGGGTCTCTCATCACCAGCTTCTGGTACCCGCATAGCAGCTCGCCTGAAAGAAAAAACGAGTGACGATGAACATGAAATGCGAATGTGGTCGCGAGAGACTATGCTCGACGTGAAATTTAAACGTTGCATGTCGTTTTCAGGTTCGAGAAAAGATGGTGCAAATGTGGAAAACATGGTTAAGTGGCCTGGAAGTTGCTCACCTTTCTTGACATCAAAGACCGAGTCGTGCGACTTGAGCTGGAAGTCCTTCCTGGCTCGAGCGTACTGGAGCGGGACGGGCGGGTTGAGCCGCAGCGTCTCGTACACGACCGACTTCACCAGCTCCATCTCCTTCACCGAGTCGAACCCCAGCGTCGGCCCTCCCTTCTCCCGGACCTCCTTCCTCAGCCGGTCCTGCAGCCCGGTCGTGTCGCTCAGTATGGTGTTCAGCAGCGTGGGGAGGAAGATGGAGAAGCCGCCGAACGCGTTGAAGCCGAGGATGAACAGCAAGTTGTGGATGGCCTCCTGGTGGGTCAATCCGAACTCGGCCTTTGCCCTTTCGACGGCTTCTCGGCCTTCCTTCTCGATGAACTGGTAGAGCTTGTTGTAGCCCCCGCTCACGAGCGCAAAAGGGTACGCCCAAGAATGCAGAAAAATCTCCTCCAGAGGTTGCAGTATGCCTGCAAATTACCAAGGGTCGAACATTACCATTAGTTTTCTAATTACATCTCCAACACTCTCTAAAGTTTTCATTTTTCTAGTTGGTTAATTCCTTCTTACTCTACGAAAGTTTTAAGTTTATTTAAGTCGCATCTTCAAATTTTCGACGTATTTATCTTTTACTTTTCTTTTCAAGAACAAAGCACGTGCTCTTTCGCCCCCGTCCATACCGATGTTGATGGTGGGGAGAAGCTGGACAGCAAGCCACCGGTCGAGCATGGCATACCCGGACTCAGCCACCTCCGGCGAGGCGGCCGGGTCGGCGCCGACGATGGACTTGGAGAGGAAGTTGAAGAGGAACTTTTGGAGGGGGAAGAAGACGCTGGCTTTGCCGTCCTTGGCGAGGTTGGACTCGATGGTGTCCCACATGGTGTCCAAGTTCGAGATCACTTCGCTCCCCCATACTTTGGAGCTCCTCTTGAGTATGTCCAACACAAAGTTCTTCACCTGCAAATATCATCACAAAATTGAAGATAATAATCACATTATCCAAACTCAAAATGAGAAGAAAACAAAGAAGGGAAAAAGTCACAAAAAATCCAAAATTATGCCCACCGTGACATATTTACTCTAAATTTTTATGCCAAATATAACACGTTTATCCTAAACATTTTCTTGTAACATAAAAAACCACAACCTCCATCAGGGTTCCGTCAGATGATTTTTCAGCTAAAACAACGTCGTTTTTAATTCACTTGAGACTGGTGGGTGCCATGTCAGCACAATTTGCTTTCTAGTGTCTGTGTAGATAGATTTTTAACGGTTCTCATTAATGAAACTTTTAATGAAAATAAATATATCACACATGTACAAGTTTAGGACTTTTGGTGTCATAGTCACAATAGATAATAGTTTAGGGTTTTTACCCAAAAATAAGTCATCTATAAATAGGAAATAATATATGCCATCTTCGATTGAAATCTATAGATATTTTAGAATTTCTATACTCCATGAAAATATTGTTTTCAATCTTTCATTTTTTGACTTTTTAAAGAATTTTTTCTCATGCCATTCTGACTTTTCCTTATGCATATTCTCTCTTCTTCTCATATCTTACATTCCCCCATTTCAACCTAAGAACATTTACAAACGGCATATCTAGTTTCTCGCATTCTAGTAGCATACTCGTGCATGGCGTGCGCGTGAATTTTTTCAAAATGGGATGAAAGTTAAGAAAATTTACTGATGATATTTTATCCGTAATTAACAGCATTATTGTAATATTGAGAGGCAATAATAATAAAATTTCAGGGAAATACTCAATAAGATGAGTTGCAAATATAAATGTTAGAAATTTTCGTAATTACTAATTTGCAACATGAAAACTCGTAAGAAAAATTATGTTTTTTTTTAACATAACTCATGTTATATAATGAGGCAAAATACAAATCTTACTTGGTAGCACAATGAGTTGAGAGTGCAAGAAAAGTACTCTTTGTAGGGAAATGATGCACGGGATGATTACCAAAAAATTACGAAACTTATTATACAATTCGATTATAAACTTTTCAATTTGACTAATTTAATCCTAAATCTTTTAATGATATTTCAATCTAGTCTTTCCAGTCAATTTTGACCAACAATCGTTGACGTAGACAATTATTTTAAAATTTTCTTAATTTTTTTAATGTTATTTTTTTCATATCTTTTCTTTCTTTTCCTTTTTTTTTTCTAATGAAGTCCGGGAGGAGCATGATCTCACCCAGTGGCCGAGAACGAAAAGAAAAGAAAGGAAAATTATAATTTTTTTAAAGAAAACGCAAAAAAAAACCGGCGTCGACATCGACATCGACATCAACAATTGCGAGCCGAATTGGTCGAAAGAACTACACTGGCGTATCGCTAAAAGATTTATAACTGAATTAGCCAAATCAAACTATTTATTACTGAATTAACGTCAGTATAATAATTTTAGGCCTTTTTTCCGTAATTTTCCGAATGATCAATCCCTTGCAAGTCAAATTCCCACGTGTCGCTCTTAGAGTCGGTCCTCAAGGAAGATAACTTATGCGGACATTCTCAAGCACGACATTCACATAATTTTGAATTTACGCACACACGATAATCTTAAGAACAAGATACTTTGTTTTTATTTTTCTATTTTTTATGCAATCACATCAATAATAATAGCCCTAGAAAAAATCTCGGGAGATATATATGGAAGGGGACTTGTACTAGATTCCAATGCGTGATGGGAGCGAGCCAAGCCACAGAT